AGAGAGGATACTGACCTTCTACAGGTGCACCACAGAGAGGATCCTGACCTTCTACAGGTGCACCATAGACAGGATCCTGACCTTCTACAGGTGCACCATAGAGAGGATCCTGACCTTCTACAGGTGCACCATTAGAGTAGAGCATCCTGACCTTCTACAGGTGCACCATAGAGAAGGATCCTGACCTTCTACAGGTGCACCATAGACAGGATCCTGACCTTCTACAGGTGCACCATAGAGAGGATCCTGACCTTCTACAGGTGCACCATAGACAGGATCCTGACCTTCTACAGGTGCACCATAGAGAGGATCCTGACCTTCTACAGGTGCACCATAGACAGGATCCTGACCTTCTACAGGTGCACCATAGAGAGGATCCTGACCTTCTACAGGTGCACCATAGAGAGGATCCTGACCTTCTACAGGTGCACCATAGAGAGGATCCTGACCTTCTACAGGTGCACCATAGAGAGGATCCTGACCTTCTACAGGTGCACCATAGAGAGGATCCTGACCTTNGATCCGCGCTTCTCTAATAGGGCTATCACACCAACTCGGTTCCAGGGCCGGTTTCGGAGTTAGAGCCTGAAAAGCACCGTTTTTTCCTGTTCACGGAGCCGGCTCTAAGCTCTGAATCTTTTGCTGCTTTTCAAGCAGCAAAAAATTGTCGGTCTAGAAGCAAGAACCGCTTACGTCGGAGGCGGGGGCAGGAACAACCTGAGCAATAACAGTTTATGGCGAGTACGGCAAATGAAAGTTTTAACAAGCAGTAGCGTTGACCAAAGTGACTAGAATGCAACCACACACTTATAAAAAAAACACTCTATAAAGTCAGGCAACACTAACCAGGCTTAGTGTGATTCTGTTTATTTGTACCTTACTTTGACCATCCGTTCGCTGTCATTGATCAGGCAGATGTTTTGTTTTGTATTATAGCAGCTATCAGATGGAATCAATACATGGGCTGCACAGGTTGTCATGTCCGACTATCACAAGTAGAATCATAATAAAAAATACGCCGGTAAAATGTGCCCGTAGAAAACGGCTTAAGCCACAATAGGATAGCAATAGCAAGTGGTCAGTTTAGCTTCAGTTGCTATGCTAACATCACCCATTTTATACCAGAGAAACTTTCATAACAGCGTTGTGATGCCAAACAGCGGCCAGCACTGCAGTGGTCGGTAAATGCCACCGAACCACATTAATAAACAATGAACCACGGCACTCTGGATAAAAGTATAAGGGTTGAGAAGTAGTTCTTTAATTTAATCTGGCTTCGTATGATTAAAAGCAACACGATCATCGACCCGACGCAGTCCCCCATTGTTGTTGTTGTGAGCGCCGTTGGGGAGAAAATCAGCGACGTAAACAGTGACGTCATGACACAGCCGCAGCAGCACCAGTCGGGCTCTGCGCAAGTACGCTAGAACAGGAACCGCGTTGGTGTGAAAAGGGGGCATAGGAGTAAATACTGTAGCGTTAAGAGTGCACAAGATTATATGCAGACTTCTGTCGGCTGAATAACATAAATGCCTCACTACAGGAGCATCCTCCCAATGTGTCTTCCTACCTTGGCAGTCTCGGCTGTAGTGGTTTTTGCAGCACTTTGGGACCCACGAAGAAACCTGACATACTCTCTTACAGCCCATGCGACTGAAAGGATCGTCCAGGGTAAACCAAGGTTGGGATCTTAACCTTGAGATTCTCATGGTTGTACAACGCTCCCTTTTTCCCTGGAGGAAGACAGGATCAACATTTATCTCGACAGAACTTATGTATTATAGAAGAGAACATTACATTACATGTCATTTAAGTATTGCAAGTTGACTTACACTAAGCGCAATCAAACATAAGGATACACAATTAAAACAGCAAGAATCCCAGTACATTCACTTTCAACAGACCAAATATTTAAAATGCTAGATACAGGGATGCAATTTCTTAGTTTTTTATTTTTACTTGGGTTCGGAATTTCTAGCATTTCTTACCGTGTCGGGGTAGTTGAATGGGCAGGCTGGAGGGAAGAGGCAGCGTCCACAGCGCCCCTGAGACATTTCAAACAAAAAAGGGTTCAGTACAACTTCCAAAACAAGGACAGAGGCATTCATCTGTTTGTATCTCACAAATGTATCTATTAAAACAATAAGCAGTATTTTATTTCATTGTACAGCATTTTTATTTTAGCTCATCTTAATCTATTCTACTTGTATATAGTTAACTTCTCCTGCATTACTTGCACGTTTGTCATGCAACATTCTCTCTATTTTATTTAATAATAAATGTTAAAGTATTGGTAATTATTTCAATACTGAAGTATTAACATTTGTATTGTTAGTTTTAAAGCAGAAGAAGCATTTTAGTTAAAGAGTTATCCAAACTAACAAAGGTGGTTCTGTTGTTCAGGCTGTCGCAGAGCGCTCCCAGACCCGGTGGTTCCAGTAGCTGGTCGATGCCGTAGGCCAAGCCCTCTTTGAAGTTCAGGTAGCGCTCCACTACCCTGGCTGCATTCCCATTAATCCACACTGCCCCCTGAACACACACACAACAACAATAACTTTTAAAAACAGTCCAACACAGACCCAGAAAACGCTGAATAGAATATTTCTCACCACCAGAGTCTTGTCACAGTTGTACTTGATAGTGGATCCGTGCATGGTGCGAAACGCAGAGAATAAATCAGGCTGAGCAACACCCATCACCTACACAGACACATACAAAAAAAGGGGCTGATTGTGGATTACAGGAAGCAGCAGAGAGAGGGACTACAGTGGAGAGAGTCAGCAGCTTCAGGTTCCTCGGGGTCCACATCACTGAGGACCTGACATGGACTCTTCACACAAACACCATCACCAAAACAGCTCGACAGCGGCTCTTCTTCCTCCGCAGGCTGAGGAAGTTCAACATGGACTCCAGGATACTCTGCAACTTCTACAGGTGCACCATAGAGAGGATCCTGAACTTCTACAGGTGCACCACAGAGAGGATACTGACCTTCTACAGGTGCACCACAGAGAGGATCCTGACCTTCTACAGGTGCACCATAGACAGGATCCTGACCTTCTACAGGTGCACCATAGAGAGGATCCTGACCTTCTACAGGTGCACCATAGACAGGATCCTGACCTTCTACAGGTGCACCATAGAGAGGATCCTGACCTTCTACAGGTGCACCATAGAGAGGATCCTGACCTTCTACAGGTGCACCATAGAGAGGATCCTGACCTTCTACAGGTGCACCATAGAGAGGATCCTGACCTTCTACAGGTGCACCATAGAGAGGATCCTGACCTTCTACAGGTGCACCATAGAGAGGATCCTGACCTTCTACAGGTGCACCATAGAGAGGATCCTGACCTTCTACAGGTGCACCATAGAGAGGATCCTGACCTACAGGTGCACCATAGAGAGGATCCTGACCTTCTACAGGTGCACCATAGAGAGTGTCCTGACCTTCTACAAGTGCACCATAGAGAGCATCCTGACCTTCTACAGGT